GAATAACACTATGGAAGCTTCTTCGACACTACGGCGTGCCTGAGGAGATAGTCAATACCATACGAATTCTTATGATGGATCAAACTGCGAAATCGTGCATGGAGGACAACTCACAGATTCGTCCAAAGTAAAGACCGGTGTCAAGGAAAGTTGCTTACTCTCACCCTTTATCCTTCTCCTGGTAATCGACTAGATCATGAAGACGACAACATCTCGGGGGAAGCATGGGATACAGTTGACGTCTAGGATGCAGCTGGACGATCTAGACTTCGCAGATGATCTGGCTCTTCTATAGCACACGCAACAACAATTGCAGAAGACGACCAATGTAGCAGCAGCTTCAGCAGCATTAGGTCTCAACATACAGGAAGGGAAAAGCAAGATTCTCCGATACGATATAACATACACCAATCGAATCACAATTGACGGAGAAGATTTGGAAGATGTAAAAACTTTTACGTATTTGGGCAGCATCATTGATGAACACGGTGGATCTGATGCAGATGTGAAAGCGCGGATCGGCAAAGCAAGAGCAGTATATTTACAACTGAGGAACTCAAAGCAACTGTCAACCAACACCAAGGTCAGGATTTTCAATACAAATGTTAAGACAGTTCTACTGTATGGGGCGGAAACCTGAAGAACTACGGAAGCCATCATCCAGAAGATACATGTGTTTATTAACAGCTGTCTACGCAAAATACTTCGAATCCGTTGGCCAGAAACTATCAGCAACAAACTACTATGGGAGAGGACAAACCAGATTCCAGTGGAGGAAGAAATCAGGAAGAAGCGCTGGAAGTGGATAGGACACACATTGAGGGAAGCCCTCACATGGAATCCTCAAGACCAAAGGAAAAGAGGAAGACCAAAGAACACATTACGCCGAGAAATGGAGATAGACATGAGAAAAATGAACAAGAATTGGATGGAACTAGAAAATAAGGCCCAGGACAGAGTGGGCTGGAGAATGCTGGTTGTCGGCCCATGCTCCATTGGGAGTAACTGGCGTAAGTAAGTAAGTAATCTTATGCAGGTACTATATTTCCTAAACCGCATGGTGAACAATTTCTGTGTTTGCCTGCACACGACCTTCTATTAATTCCCAACGTAACATAAATAGTCCTAGCTCAACCGATCCAGATGGATTAGCTCCAGAGGTCTTTAAGTATGGTGTTCCAAATCCAACGGTTAGGTTGACTAATATTTTCACTCAGATCTGAGAGATGAACGTAATCCCATCTGACTGGACGCAATCACTGATTGTCCCAATATATAAGGAGAGGTCAAAATCACCCTGTGATAACCACAGAGGGATTAGTTTAACTAATATAGTATCTAAAATACTAGCTTCAATAATTATCGGGCGTCCAAGACTGGTGAACTACAAACACGAGAATATTAGACTGGCTTCAGAACTGATAGTGGCTGCTTCGACCACATATTCACCATTCGTCAGGCTCTAGAACACAAACTTGCGTATCGGCATCCGTCAATGATAGTTTTTTTGAAACTAAAAGTAGCATTTCAATCTGTAGACCGCGAGGTTCTGTGGCACTGTCTGCCATTGAAAGGCGTACCTCAGAAGTACATAAACCTTGTGAAGGCTCTTTACTCGAACACTACAAGTCGAGTAAGAGCTTATGGCGAACTGACATCTGATTTCACAGCCTCAAGTGGTGTCCGAAAAGGCCGTTCAATATCTCCATTTTTGTTTAATTCCATCATGAGCCTACTGCTGGACATAACGTTCTCGTCGACTGAATTTTCGGGCATTGATCTTCTACTAGGAGGTCCACTTATCGACCAATGAAAGACACAACCAAAACAAGGAAGTGAACAATGATAAATTTAAGGTCAACAAGAACCAATCAACATCGAGGTGCACAGAACAAGCTGTGAAACACATATGGAGAAATTCTAACACTTCACTTCTATCTGAAGTTTGTGCTGACGATGTCGTTCAGAAGAACGATGAAAGCTCCACGACCAAACCATCCAGCTCAGAGAACAAAACTCCACCAAAATGCATTCTTTTGGTAGCACCGAGCAACAATGCCAGGATGTTTGGGATGTGTTTCTCTCCTTCTAAATCCAAATTGTTGCTACAGGACTGGTCTGCGTCAACACCTGAACTAAGGATAGGGAGTGAAGTAGTTGAACACGTCGACAACTTCACTTATCTTGGAAGTCTGATCAGCCCTAATGGGTTGGTGTCTGACGAAATCTCAGCACGGATTCGAAAAGCTCGGTTGGCGTTTGCCAACTTGCGTCGCCTATGGCGAAGGTGAGATATCCGGCTATCAATAAAAGGACGAGTATACTGCGCGGCAGTCCGTTCTGTTTTAATTTACGGCAGCGAAACATGGCCATTAAGAGTAGAAGACACTCGTAAGCTATTAGTATTTGACCACTGATGTCTTAGAAATATTGCTCGCATCTGCTGGGATCACTGGGTAATTAATAGTGAGATTAGACGCAGGGTATTAGGGAATGATGGTAAATCAGTTGATGAGGTTGTGAATCTTTATCGACTGAGATGGTTGGGTCACGTGTTACGTATGCCCGAATACCGATTACCACGACGTGCAATGCTAACCGGTGTTGGGGATGGTTGGAAGAAGGTTAGGGGCGGCCAAACCAAAACGTGGCATCAGTGCTTGAAGTCACTAACTTGTAGTCTGAGTCATGTTGGTAGATACAGACTACTTGGGGTCCGCGTGGCTATTATAATGGTCGAAGACGCTGGGTGAAATAAATCAGAATCGATCACAATGGTGTAGGTATATACACAATCTGTCTTCCCTTAAACTGTGAGATTAAATTAACTTATACCTTTCCTTCTACGAACTAATTCTTTCTTCTATACTATACCCTTATATGCAATACTTCTTTTACATATTACTATCATTCAAGTAACTACTTCTATGAATTCGGTGTTCATCCTGTTGTGCTAATGAGGTTGTAGTGGCATTGGACAATAGCCACACAATCCACAAAGCTGTGAACACGAGACTACTCAGAAAATAGATATTCAATATTTAACCCGGGGAAATACCTAACAATGGAGAAGGCGCGGAGAATGAATTGAATGGACTGGAGTTGATCGAGTGGCATGGCTCGTCCATGCAGGCGTGGTCCATCTCAGTGTTACTTTATATCTTCTATTCATATTAAATATATTGTTCTTTCTCTAGCCTAACCTTGTTCTACATCATGTATTGGTAATTGATACGATACAGTGAGTTGGTGTAGTCGATGGTGTGACTTCCACGTAAGATCTTATAGATTAGGCAGTTATATCATGACAAATCGACAAGTTTAAGATTACGTTTATTATTAGAGCAGTACTAATATCATAGTAGACTCGCTGTTTCCCGACCAGTTTCTGCCGCCTCCTTTCCATTTGTTTTACAGATAAGCAATACCTGAAGGATTTATAATATTCGCTTGGCACTCTCCGGCGCGCGACTGCTCCTAACATGTTTGGTACCGATTCAAACGGCCGCTGAATCTGGTGGGGGAGTATTGTAGGGCCAGTGAAATGTCACTGAGCCCTAGCCAAATCATCCGGCAGTTGGATCACTGAATGTCGAACAGATCATCGCTCCCTGCCAAGGTCATGTACAAGCAACGCGCATTAGTTAATCATACGCCATGGATTGGCCCATGCGGCAGTGGTCTTACTTTCGCCTGTATCTACCTTAACTAATATATTTCTGTAATAACGTCCTTTGTGTTGTACAGTCTTCGAAGCATCTATAGTACCTTGTTACGTCAATGGGGGTAGTCCACGTAAGGTGCTGACCACGAGGTGTGACTTCGACGTTAGTTGGTTCGTCACACTATTCACGTCTAACTCGAGTAGGCCTCCAATCATTTAGACAAAGATCATCTACGTTGGTGATCTACAAGGTGTGGCAACTTGGATTGATGTATATATGTTCCTTGTCCTACGTTGTAGCTGACTGAGTCCCTGGTTTCAAATGAATTGAGCATCAGATAAAACGTTAATAATGAATATATTTTCTTTTACATCTTGACGAGTAGAAAGACATTATTTACTCTGAGGAAGGGGCTTACATTAAGTGACGAAACGTCAGAAACATGGTTTTCCTACTCACTGGGATACAACAAAAATTATATTTCACTTATTCCTTGTATCGACGTTTTAAAGTCAACACGCTTTAACTTTAACTAATTTAGCTCTGAGGTATATTTTCACACTTCAGTGCTCACTACTCTCAAATACATAATTTGTCTTAAGATTTCTGAATAACAGTCAGCCAACAGAATGCAGTTAGACTGTTTCGTCAAATTGACACGTTAGTTGGTTCTATAGCAAACAGCTACACAACCGGCAATTTACAAATGTTGGTTCTGTTACTTGTCCTTCTTTCAGTACCACAAAGATGTAACATTTGTCATGGACCTTCTGTCTCAATCTTGTACTATAAGTCATGTACACATATTAAACAGTGTCACACCAGTACTTAAGGCCGTGTTCGACACTTTGTTACAAAGATCAAGCAGTATCGCTCCACACCTAGACGTTATATTTGCTTTCTTACGATTACAACGTTATCGATTATACTACTGTGATAAAGTGCTTCCTTCTAATCTATGTTATACCATATTAATCGTGTCTATAAAAGGCGCATCTGACGTCAAGTACTTACCATTATTGCTGAGAAACCCGTGTTAACATTAGGAAGCGAAAAACTGCCAACCATTGTAGTATGACTATAAATGCATAAGGTATCTTCGCACGGTTTTTCTAAATGTTTTATTTATCTGAAAAACGCTGTGATTCGTATACGTGAGAAGTACTCAAACTATCAATAGGTATATCGCATCTCTTCTTAACGCTTGAATTCATGGTAAGACATGATGCTATAGCTACATAAATCTCTTGAATTTGCTCTAGTCATATCGTACGTACGTAATACTCATATTTAGTGGTTAACCAGCTAGCTCAGTAAGCAGTAACAAGAGTAATATTGAAGCAGATATTTATTTTGGAGTTTTATCATAATGACAACTTCGGACTGTAATCACTACACTATGTAGTGGGAGACTGATAGTTATGTTCTACGGGATAACGTCAATGACTTAAAGTGTTGATTATTGTAAAAATCATTAGTTTCTTTGTGTAGACATTTTGGTAGAACTAACACTCAATCAGTGTTATATCTTGAACACAGACGAGATCGCGTGACCACAGGTACGTACAAACAAATCAGTACACAACACTTAAGAATGAGACTACACGATCGCCCGTAGTCCTAACGATATAAACACAAGGAAGCTTTAAAGAAAATCAAGTATCACCTTGTTATGACTAAAAATATACAAATGTGAGGAGATAAAGTTTAGGAACAAACCGTACCAAAGATGCATCAAAATCAATCAAAAGGGAAAATGGAACAAAACAGACAAATGATCATATGTAAGTGACGGCTGAAAACGTTTGCAGAATTATTCGGTCACACTAACACAATAACTAAGCAAATAAAGAATGATAGATACAATAAACACCATGTAGGGCAATAGTAAATTAATAAAAAGGAATATAATTCACAAAAAAATATGATATGAGATCATAAATCATCGTCAACCTGACCAACTGCAGGATTCCTCAGGACAACATCTAAGTCGTCTCCTTCTTCCCCTTCACCATCTGATCTTGTATCCGGTTGTGGTTCTGGACTGTCATCCACGTTACCTGGATTGCAAACCACTGTACATAATGTTATATCAGGCTCACAATTAGATGGATTATCTATCAGACTATGTGGTTGGTTTACAAGTGCATCATCAGAATTTGACGAACTACATCCAGGAGCACCTTTTGAGTGTATGGACTCAACGACTGATGTAGTGCACGTAACATCTGGCTTCACAGAAACACCAGTCTGATTAGGATTATCTGATTGGTTTCTGATTAGCAGATCATCTGATTCAGAATACGCGTGAGATGATTCGCTGACACCAAAAACAAAAGAGGTTTCCCCTATGGTGATTACTCTCTTGAAAGCAAACAATAAAAGAAAAAAAAAGCGTATTTAATGAAAGTACAACGAAATTATTTAGTCTGAAATCTGATTTTCTTGCCATTTTGTACATAAATAGTAGGTAGTTTTGAATGCTTGCCATTTACACGGATGCTGATTAGTAACCTTATTTGTTAAAGATACAGAACAATCATTATCTTCAACTCGACAAACAACGACTAAACCATTAACGTACTTAGCTACAAAATGTTGTGACTATCTAGAGAGCAAAGCTGAGGTTGGACAGAGTACTAGGCAAATATTATCATTGATAATCTCGTTGTACTCAGTCAGCCAGCTACAACGTAGGACCAGGCACATATATAAATCGGTCCAAGTTGCCACACCGCATTAGCATAGCAAAATGAAGACCGGATATTCATAGGAGTAGTTAAGTCAATGGTGGCAATATATAGAAGACTCGCTGTACTAATGTGGCAACTTGAACTCATCACATATGCGTCATGTTCTGTGTTATTTATGGCTGACTGACACAAAAGGTGAATCACACTAATACTATATTATCTAATCTAACAATAAAACGCCTTTGTAGTAGTAACAATCTGGACGACATAATTTAGTACTAAACGAGTGATATTTCATATCATGAATGGAAAACGGTAAAGGTCTTACCTGGTCATTAACTTCACATAATGAAGATGAGGCCTTCTGATCATTCGCCGAAGTAATTATTCTATCTTCTTGAGCACCATGAGTCTGACAGGATTCAGTATTATATCTAAAGGGCCATATTGGATCAGTTTTAAACGAATGGGGCATTACAGGCTTATATCGCTGACATAGTTGGTCAAATGTTGGCTTGTTACGGCAGATTGATGGGTCATTTACTTGTTGAGTGGAAGATGTGTTTCGTATGGAAGGAGGTAGTGTATTTAAAGTTGTTGTACATGAATTTTCCACGACTGTTGAAGAACATGGCTTAACTTTAGCAATTGGTATGGAGACTGAAGAATTACATGAATAACTGGATGCTAAAGTGATATCACATGGTTGTTCACAAGGTAGTTCAGAAGAATCGTTTGAAGATAAAACACATGGATTTGATTGGAGTTCTCTTGGTTTATTTATCAAAGTGTTCATAAAAGTGCGCGTTTTGTAACTTGAACGATCAGTACACTTGACCGAATCACCATGCTCTCGACTAACATCACCAAACGCATTAGTATGATCTTGTTCATCAGGTGAATCGCTCACCAAACTAACATAGTTTCTACTAGGAATATTATCTAAATTAACATTCCCAGAAATATTATCAGCTTGCGTCCCAATAACTACGTTATTAGATGAGTCCTCATTAAAAGTGGTGGCCTTTGGAAAAGTACTAGCAGTAGGGTTTTCTATGACGGAAAATGTCGATATATTGGATATTGACCAGAAAACGTTATCTGAATCAAGACGGTTAATTGCATCAACGGATCTAAACAAATCATGCTTACATGATGCAGAAGAGCCATATTCAGGGGCAGAATGATGTATATCAGATACCAAAGTAGGACTACTGCAACTGCTTCTCTGAGATGCTGGTAAGTGAGACCCAGTAACAGTTGATGCATCAAAATGAGAAGCATTGAGATTAGAGGCTAACTCATTTATGTCAACGTTTCCGCAGTTGTCTAGTAGTTGGTCCGTTTGTTGCATCATACTGAATGCAGAATTCACAGTAGATTCATTATTTTGGATGATATAAGATTCCTCAGAGGAAGAAGGTATATTATCTAAAGTATGGCTAAGAGTTTCATTATGATTTAATAATGGATTCTCGGCCTGTTGAGTTAAGTGAGATATGGGTGTAGTGTCACAGCGTAAAATATTATGTGGGTTGCATAACAAGGATGGAAGAAGTGATCTATTATTTCTGGGGTTGTGCATTCCTTGTGCAACATATGGTAAACGCATACTTTTGGGATTCCAAACATTTATATTACCAGGATATAAACTGGATGCAGTCAACGAAAGTAAATGCCTTGGTGGTCTAGAGTTTCTTAATTCTCTCCCATTAACAGAAGCAGTATTTGACAAACTATTCTGTCGTGAAGAATGACTACGAACTTGACGATTAGATCTACGATGAGTGGAAGACATGTGAGAATTTCCAGGAGATTGAGAATTAACATTACATACATTCATACTTGCAGATGGACAACCAAATTGTGAACCAGTACGAAAGGGTTCACTAACTGACGAAGACAGAACATTTCGAGTGGATGATGATGGACTACCCTGAAATGATGATGGATTAGTGTGACCAACAGAAATCTGTGTGTTTATGCGTACATTATTAGTTCGATTGGTGTTAAAGTCGTTTAGCTGCCAAGTGGATGACTGATTGATTGCTGAATGAAAATTAACCGAAGCAGATGAAACAGCTGATGGAGATGAATGAATATTAGTGGAGTTCATTACGTTTCTTGATGTTAGAATTGGCGTAAGAGTATCTTGACTGATAGAACATGTTGGGAATCGTACAACACACATACCAGTGTCACATCGCTCATGATTCATTCTACTTTCTTCGTGTAGCCACCACGTATTTTCGATTGGATCGTACGACTCTACAGTATCCAGTAGACTATTGCCATTATATCTATAAGATCAAAATGGATAAGGATAATAAGAAGCATTTTATTGAAAATATGATATGCTCTTCGCTAAAGAATGCAAAGTCATTATTTAAAAAATGAATAAGATGGGAAGCATCCATTGAAACGTAAAAAAAAAAACAAAAATGAATTCAGAGAATAATCTTCTATTCGACTAATCCATTCTCAAGGCTGTATCATCGTAAATAAATATTTTTCTTCTAAAATGATGATTAACAATACGTTTGTTAACAACAATAATAACAGAAGTAATTTACTGAACACAATAGAGGTAAAATATATAAAAGCACGGTGTTGTTTTTACTAAAAAAATTGAAAATATATTGGTTAAGATCTTGAATATTAATCAAAATATAGATTAGTAATTGTGTAAAAGGATCGTTGTAAAATGATAAGAACAAATGTTAGGATTGAAATAACATTGTAATCAGAAATAAGTCAGGGGAGAAGTCAACAGAGAAGAGGAGGGCAATGGGTTTGGAAAACTAGAGGTTAAGACCTTGATAGAATAAGAGGTACAATAACTTTCTTTTGTATACAGTTTTAGTTTCTCTAGATGTATAACGAAGTTTTTAACAGCGCTAAGAATGTGGAAAGTCAGTGTCATTGACAGGATTCTATTTACTTTGTAGACGTCTTAAGACGTTGAGTCTGTTCACAAGACGTTTGATTATGAAGCTTCTGATGGATTCATTATGACCACTTTTCAGATATGCCTGATTATCTATTTGAACTGTTGAATAGAGCCCACATTATTTTTGATAATCACTGTCATCTAAATCATATTCTACAGACTTTAAATAACTGTTACCAAGTATTGAGGTTTACAATTGAAGTGAAAAACAAATAGAACATCGAATTTATCGTAATTTTAATGACTCCCCCAAATGCCCTGGCGCGGCAGAGAGTGAGGAGAGTCAGCACTCTCTCCCGAAATGCTCTTACATGGCCACGCATATACAATCACTACCAGGGAAGTCCTACCCACTGCCTTCTCGCGGAGAGGTGTTGTTTAAGAAATTGAGAGGACGATATCCGGCGCTTTAACTGGGTTGGTGGACTCAGAGAGTTCACCTAGGGGAGTTGGAAAACCCTGATTCCAAACCAATGGTGTACATAGACTCCAGTATCCTGAGGGAACAAAAGGCGTATAAACCTATTGGTGGTCGCCGGCTACTATGAGAGTGCATCTCCTAACTTTGCTCCACTGCCTTGTGGATCAGACCTTTAGATAGAAGGCTCTGGGTGTGGTGCCCTAGGAAAACCACCTGTTTCAGTTTGGGCACCCAGACAGTATCTCAGCCTTCAAACAAATCGAATGATTTATGTACTGCATATGTATTCGGCGCCCCTTTGTACCAATATTTATGTGTTCAAATAAATAAATAAATAAATATGTAAACGACACAGAAACCTGACGGAACTCTTTAACTTGCATCACTTTTGAGGTTAATGGTCTCTAGTTGACCTATGCTCATTAGTAACCTGATTGTTTACATAATACCGTGTAGCAGGATAAAAGAATCCATTCAGAAATATTTCAAACATACTAACCTTTCTTCTGCTAATATTCCTCTATTTGAGCTATTTGTACAACGGGATTGATACTACTGAGTACGGATTTATGTACTTAGCTTTAACCCATGTTGTTTGTGTGTGGGTGTTTTGGGAGGGTGTAACGACACTATCATAGCATCCATGCTGAATCAGTAATTTGGAGTTCGAACCTTTCACATATTGGTTGAAAGGTGATCTGCTGTAACCTCACTAGGCAGCCGCTACTATGAAACATCAAAATTTAACATACCAAACAAACAAGTTGCCAATTCTTTTCCTTGAAAAACCTAATCAGTTCATTATTTTTAAAAGTCGTGCCAAAATTATAGAAAAAAGTATTATAGTATTGTTTACTAATCATTTGGTGAACATACATAAAAAGTTTGAAGTCAAAAATAGAACCAGCATTTAATACAATGAGCAACAAATGGCTTTCGATTAAGATCACACGTTTCATAAGAAATCTCGGGATTATATTGATAATATGCTGAAAATCCCCATTTTGACATTTGGTAAATAAAGAAGGAACGAATTGAGAGAAGAAAATTCTTTTCAATTAGTTTTTTATCATATATATTCTCGGAAGACTACATAAGCAATCAATCGCTACAGTAAAATTAAAGTGAAGTAGACCTGAATTCATAATCACACAGCTGGAAAAGTAATTTAATTATTATACCCATAATATCAGTAAGTTTATCAAGTATGAAAAGCCTACTAGAATATTATTTATTTATTTTAACACATAGATATTGGTACAAGGAGGCACTAAATACATATGCGCCACACAAATCTCATTCGATATGTGTGAGGGCTGTGATACTGCCCGGGTGCCCAGACCGAAGCAGGTGGTTATCTTAGGGGGCCACTCCCCGAGCCTTCGACCTGAAGGCCTGATCCACAAGGCAGTGAAGCATTGTAAGGAGATGCAGTCCCATGGTAGCCGGTGACCAACGATTGGTTCATACGCCATTTGTTCCCTCAGGATACTGGGGCCCATGTGCACCATTGGTTTGGAATCCGGTTAAAGCGCCGGACATTCGCTTTTCGTCCTCTCATTTTCGTAAACAACACCCCCACCACGGGAAGGCAGTGGGTAGGACTTCCCTGGTAGAGGCTATATACGCGTGGCCATGTGAGAGCATTTCGAGAGGGAGAGCGGACCCTCCCCACTCTCAGCCGTACCAGGGCATTTGGAGGCCTACTAGCTCAGTGGTCTAGTTGGTTAAGCGCGTGGCGCGAAACCGATAGGTCCTGGGTTCGAATCTCGCGGGGCGGGATCGTGGATGCACATTGCTGAGGAGTCCCGTGCTAGGACGAAACGGCCGTTCAGTGCTTCCAGGTTTTCACTGGTGGTCTAGTTTCAATTGACTCATGATTTCACTCAAAAAAATATAAAAAAAACTACTAGAATATACCAAAACAGTACTAAAAAATGGTTGCTCACCCAGCAGCAACATAAATCTTGCCAGCCAATGGGCAAGCACCAACGTAACAACGAGGGACATTCATACTTGTAACCAAAGTCCACTGAGCCAACCATGTATTATAAGCTTCTACAGTATCCAAATGTGAAGGACCGCGGCCTTCAGCGCCACCATAACCACCGCATACATAAATAGTATCCCCCAACAAAGCACAACCAGCTCCCGACCGACGCATGTACATTGGTTTGCACACAGACCACGTACCACAATGAAGATCAAAGCTAATTAAAATAAAAAGTACCGATAATAAATCCATGATGCACAAACGAAAGACATGCGAAGTTCGCAAGATTGATACTTTTAAATGGTTTATTTCATGAAATTATGAAAAAGTAATCATATTAACAGTCATTTGTGTCTATTAATATTTTTTAAATTCACAAATCAGTTATCTCAGGAGTAGATTTTAATAAACAAGGGAAACAGAAAAACATTTATATGACAGATCAATAAACGAATCATGAACAGGTATACAAATATTTGTGCAGTATTAATGTTAAGAATTAGTGGTATTCGGTCAGTTTGGTAGTAATATTAATAATCATGACATGACAGATAGAAAAGCAATCTCTTTGGTTGTTTGGTGACTTTTATCTTTATTCCTGACTAACGATATACCAAATATGGAGGGGAGCGTTAATGCTTAAAGAACATGTTATAACGCTCGGCTTTACTTCATCCAATGTTATAACGGTTGGGTTTCCACTTTTACATGTATGGGATGTTAATTTACCTTAGACAAATATCTACACTAGATTCCCTCCCAGTGTCTTTTCTACAGGACTTCAACACAACTCAGATCAAGAACACGTGATTAGCCTGACCACAACGTAAATATATTTCCACACCAAAAAACCCGACACAATCCAAAAACAATGAACAATCAACCAATGGTTGGAGACTCTTGGTGACATGGCTCAGAATCGATCACAATGGCGTCGGTGTATACACTCTCTGTCTTCCCTTAAACTAAGAGATTAAAATCGCTTCATATCTTTCTTTCTACGAACTAATTCTTTCTTCCTGTACTATATCCTTATATGCAATCTTTCTTTTATATATCACCACCTCTGAATTAACTACTTTCATGAATCCGGTGTTCATCTTGTTGTGTTAATGAGGTATGGCAACTTGGACAGTTGCATATATGTGCCTGGTCCTACGTTGTAACTGACTGACTGACTGAATAATAATAATAATAAGGATAGGGGAATATATAATTCATCTGACACCTGTCAGACTATCTACATGTCTGACTAAGCAGACAACCAGTCATTATCATTCTCGCCCACACATCAGAACTCCACGTTTAAACAGTGGGACATTGGTTTTAAACATATTCCTATCTTTAATTTTATTCTTTATAAATAGCAGCATACAATTTTTAACGAAAGAAATCTCTTGTTTCGTTATTATTCGGATAGCATATTATGGTACACTTATTTCGTTCTTAATATATATCTTTTCGGTGAGACTATAATTTATGGACGAACCAATGAGGTATAAGACAAAAGGTCTCGGATTTTGGCGAGAAATTCACTCATTCATTTGGCTAAATAAAGTTTTGGCATTATAGCTCATGTCAGTTCGTGATGAAAACCCTAAATCTAATTCCTAACCTCAACCATCAACTGTAAATCATAATTCTAATTCCTCACACTGATTTATAACCGTCATTGTTGAATAACCAAAAGGTTCCATGTCCATTTACGTAAGGTTGTTTAACTAAACTTCACGGATATAGAACGTCTTATACTTATTGTATATCTCAGTAGAACTATAAACATATCTTCAGGTACTCATCAGCTACGAAGTATGGGCTGGACAAATAGACAATAATGATGACTATTCGGAAAAAGACATATTGGAATAAATTAAAATGATCAAGTGGAGGAATTATATTGCAAAACATCCAAATAAAATAAGTGGACATAGAATAATGCACACATGGAAATACCGATTAATGAAACTGTAGTTCAGAGAGTAAACATGAAATCAAGGCTAATGATGATTAATTCCGGTTTCATAGATAGTAATGGCTATTGTTTTACACGTACTTACACATTGTTATTTGACGACTGAAAGTTATGTTATTCGGGTGGTATCTTTTGTACATAACCAATGATTTCATCCTATTTGGTCAGTGGCTTACATATTATATATTTATTGAGTCGGGATTCGGGCCTCGACTTTATGACTATTCATACTCTAAGTTACCTTTATCATTGGTTAATAAATAGTGATATCGTTATACGCTTGGGCCAGTTAGTGCTAATATTAAGCACACTTATAGTTTTTCGTCGTATACATAAGGTTTTGATTGGGTTTTTGACGAGAACTAGTTACACATTATCTTAAGTTAACAACAATCCGATTACACCAGCCGAATCTGTTAAGAAATACGGCTGGCATTACTCCGAAAGTAAAAACGGTGTACAATGTTTTAATCAATTTAGGTAGGACAACACAGCAGTAGATTGACATTAAACGATTCTGAATCAGACACACTATTTAGTAGTCAACTCATGTAAGAGATTTTCGTACCAACAGTGGTATTATAATAAAGATATATGTTAGGTTATTTCAGATGAGAAATAAGTTTTAATTCCTTTAGTATGTTATGGAAAACTATTTTTTGATTTACATAACTGTGTTGCTTGCTAAAGCTCGACAACCTTTATAGGACGGTGTCTCTTTCAACACAAATATAATTGTATAAAATACTACGCGGTTCTCTACATATTTGATTCCATGACAAATTCCGTTCCATTTTGAAAACAGTTATTATTTTACAAACACTTAAACCAATTTCCGAAAATATCACCTTCCTGGTACAGTAATAACTCAATCTGTAGCTCTTCTAGAGTTACTGCCGGTCCCAAGCCCGGTTGAAAAAGGAGGGTTGGGCAAAGGTAAGCAACCCCATCCAGTAGAAAACAAACTTGCTAAAAAACAACTAACAAGATTAAACATTTTAACCTCTGCCCTGGGGGTTGACAAAAGAATTATGACACGTCATGAGGAAAGCCGAGATTCTACGGAAGTCGCGAGTTCTATATCCCTTTCAGTAAGCAGAGTAAAAACTTTCATACATACATGAAAAGTCAGGAAAATGTGGCTAACCGGAAGGACCACCAAACTAGCGACGGAAATGATAACATTATTTATTTATTTATTTATTTATTTATTTATTTATTTGAACACATAAATATTGGTACAAGAGAGCGCCAATATATATGCGCCACACAAAACAATGGGAATTCGAAGAGAAAAAAAAAACTAAGGAACGCAAAAGAAAAAGAGAACAATGACGAAGAGGTACAATCAGAAGAAATCTTTCAGGTAAAGGAGACACAACCAATTTTTATGAAGAAAGTAAAAGAAGGTTACAGCAGGATCGCCACTGGCTTCTATTCTGAGCCATATCTGATAACGTCTCTAGCCACTGTGTAGCACCATCTCTCGGACCCCAGCCAGGGAGTCGTGAAGGACCAACACAAGCCAGTCCTTTGCAGCTTTCTTTCATGCCACGACACCATGTCATGCACTGACCACCTCTCCGCTTCTTCCAACCAGTCCCAGAGTCGGCAAATAATGCACGACGTGGAATTCTCTGGGACGACATTCGGAGAACATGTCCAAGCCACCGAAGTCGGTGTTTCAAGATGGTGACACCAATTGAGTTATCATCTCTGTGCCCGAACACACGATGCCGAACCTCTGCATTACTGACATGGTGTTGCCACTGAATGTCAGCAATCCTTCGGAGACAGCGATGATCGAACACAGAGAGTCGCCTAACGTCCTCAACTCGGAGAGGCCAGGTTTCACAAGCATAGAGCAAAACTGCTCTCACCGACGCGTTGTAGATCCGGCCTTTTACAGCCAGACTAACATCACGAAGGCGCCAAAGGTGGCCCAGATTGGCATAAGCCGCTCTGGCTTTCACTATTCGTGCATTGATCTCATCACTCACACCCCCACCAGCACTTATGCAGCTACCCAGATACACGAACTTCTCAACTACGTCTATCTGCTCACCATCCAGGGTGAGTACAGGATTAGAATCCTGCCAGTCTTGTAGAAGTACTTTGCACTTCGAAGGTGCAAAGCACATACCATACCTACGGACACTGATTGCCAACTGATTAAGTGCGGATTGCATGCCTTGGGCATTATCGCACAGTAAGACAATATCGTCCGCATACTCAAGGTCGAGAAGTCTTTCTCTAGGCAATAAAACCACACCACCATTACTTACATTCATCAGAGCTGTTTCCAGAATGTCATTGATGGCAAAGTTGAAGAGGAATGGTGAGATTGGGCAACCCTGCCTAACCCCACTGCTCGAATGGAACAATGGAGAGAGGTGGTTGTATGCCCTCACTCTGCCTGAGGTGTTTTTATACAGGGCTTTTAGGATGTTAATAAACTTCTCAGGCACACCCTTCTTCAATAGACAATCCCAGAGAACAGTCCTATCCAACGAATCGAAGGCAGCCCTGATGTCAAGAAACACTACGATTGTTGGCCTTTGAAAAGTATGGCGGTGTTCTAACATTTGGCGGAGGGTGAAGATATGATCAATACATCCTCGACCAGAACGAAACCCAGCCTGCTCCTCGCGAGTCAATCTTTCTCGGGTTTTGAACAACCTACGAAGAATGACGGAAGCCAATAGCTTGGACGCAATCGGAAGTAAACTTATCCCCCGATAGTTGTTACAAGAACGACGTGAACCCTTTTTAAAGATAGGGACAACTATCGACTCATTCCATGACGTTGGTACACTCTCTAGTTCCCAAACCTTTGTAAACAACGTCGTCAATTCCTTAGTCAAAAAGTCACCACCATCTTTAAAAAGAGCCGGAGGTAAGTCATCTGGGCCAGGTGATTTGTAACGCTTCAAGAGTTGGAGTTCCTTGCGGACTTCCTCCTCATTTGGTGGATCAGTCGTCACCGGCCATGGAGGGCAGGACAGTCTGACCGATGTTACCGGAGCAGCAGGCCAGTTGAACTGCCCTTCGAAAAATTCTGCCCATCGTCCAAGACGTCGATGGATGTTAGTGATTGGCATCCCATCATCCTCGCAGATTGTTTCACTCACACCAGACTTCTTGCTGCCAGTGGCTCGGATGAGTTGGAAGAGCTTCCGGTAGTTACCAGATGCAGCTGCTGCTTCCAGCTCATTAGCACGCATCGACCACCAGGCTTCTCGGTCCTTACGCAAGCTTTGCCCGATTTCCTTACGTAAAATCCTTCGTTTGTGGTCAAACTCACGGTCACCCGGAGTAGACCGACGGGCTTCAATGAGTTGTAAGGAACCAGAAGAAACCCAGTGCTTAAAAGCGGGACGTTTCGCAAACCCACAACTGACTGTTCCCGCCATTTTCATGGCGTCATGCAATTGCAACCAATGCTCATCTATACTTTTCGGTGGAGTGGTAGCTAGCCTAGAGGCTAGCTCGGTTCGGTACTTATTTGCAACAGAAGTTGCAACCAGCTTGCTAACATCAATCCGTTGATGGCGTTCACTTCGTTGTCCACTGAAAAGTAAGGCAAGATTGGCGCAGACCAAGGCATGGTCAGAGTCCAGATAGGTACTCCAAAAGGAGCGGCAGTCTTGTACACAACCACGCCAGCGGTAGCTGATCGCGATGTGATCAATCTGGGTCCAGGCTTGAGATGCAGAGGGAGGACGCCAGGTGGCACATCGGCGATGACTGTGCCGAAAGTTAGTGCTAGCCAGAAACAGGTTGTGGTCTGCGCAAAGTTGCAGTAGACGGTCCCCGTTATCTGACCTGCGACCAACGAGTCCCCATCGGCCACCTAAACGACTCTCTTCTGTGCCTAGACGCCCGACCTGAGCATTCAAGTCTCCGGCTAGTACTACAATATCTGTCGAACGCACTTTCTGGAGAAGAACTGATAACTGGTGGTAAAACTCATCCTTGATTGCATCCGGGCTGCAATCTGTCGGGGCATAGGCGGAGATGACGAAAAGACATCGTTTCTCACGCCGATTTCTTCTCACTTTGATGGAACTTTCTAATCTAACAGCACATAACCGACTGTTAATGGGGATCCAATCGATTAGTGCTGCCTCAGCTCTAGCGCTTAGTGCGACACCAACGCCAGCAAAACCAGACGAAGATGCCACAGGGTCCACGGATAAGCGCACGTAAAACAAGCTTTTCGAAGCGACAGATGGAGATCGAATTTGTAGTACTTCGCCAGAGTCTTGAATACGGGTCTCGGATAGACAACACACGTCGATATTAAGACTTTCCAAAGACATAGCCAGCCCTATCTGTTGTCCGACCTGCATAAATGTGCGAACGTTGAAGGCAGCCAGTTTGAATGATGCACGTGGTTTCAGAAAATCTGCTTCAGTCCTCGTATTCGGTGGTAACATACAATTTCAACCGGACAGTGACTCGAGAACGTTTAGATACAGTCGGATTTCCACCAAAGACGAGCCGCTGTATAAGTATAAAAGAAGGTGAATAATGTGGAAAATAATAATAATAATGATAATAATAACAATAATGACAATAATAGTAGTAATAATAATATTAGTATTAATGATGACAATAATTGTAGTGATCATAATTTGAATCAATTGATTGTTTTTCAAAGCGACAAAGGTAATTTCCATGGACATAGAGTTCATCATTTGTGTGTGGGCTGTGATACTGCCCGGGTGCCCAAACCGAAGCAGGTGGTTATCTTAGGGGGCCACTCCCCGAGCCTTTGACCTAAAGGTCTAACCCACAAGGCAGTGGAGCATCGTAAGGAGATGCAGTCCCATGGTAGCCGGTGACCAACGATTGGTTCATACGCCATTCGTTCCCGCAGGATACTGGAGCCCATGTGCACCATTGGTTTGGAATCCGGTTAAAGCGCCGGATATTCGCTTTTCGTCCTCTCATTTTCGTAAACAACACCCCCGCCACGAGAAGGCAATGAGTAGGACATACAACTTCAAGATGCCTCGGAATAACTGAAAACCTTCAATCCAAACAGCAAAATAAACACTAGATACGGGAGAAATGTTGCTATACTCCGATCACGAAGAAAATGCTCCACACACACAGGGAGTCGCTCTGATGCTGTTCAAAGAAGCACGAAATGCACTTATAGGATAGGAATCTCACGGATACAGGATCATCAAGGCATCCTTCAAAACAAAAAAGAAGGCAATCATGATGAATGCTATCCAGTGTTATGTACCCAACAATGACAGCAATGACGACAATAAAGATCAGTCCTATGAGAGGCTGCAATCAATTATAGCGAAGTGTCCAATAAAAGACCTGACCATCCTGATCAGAGACTTAAACTCCAAGATCAGAATGGACAACACCAGATATGACGATATCATGGGACGACACGGACTGGGAGAGAGGAACGAAAATGATGAGAGATTTGCGAACCTATGTGCATTCAACAAATTGGTTATAGGCGGCACAATATTCCCATACAATCGCATACACAAAGCTACATGGATCTCACCGGATCACACCACGGAGAACCAGATAGATCATATTTGTAACAATAAAAAAATCAGAAGGACAATGGGAGATATGAGAATCAGGAAGGAGGGGAGCTGACATAGCTTCAGATCATCAGCTGCTTGTGGTCATGATGAAACTGAAGCTAAAGAAACACTGGACATCTGGGGAAACATCAGTACAAAGGTTCAATACAGAATTCCTGTGATACACTAACAAAGTCAACCAATTCAAGATAACTCTCAACAGAAGATTCCGAGCATTACAAGATCTACTCGAAGAAGAAACTACGATGGAGGATGATTGGAAAGGAATCAAAGAAGTACTGACTTCAACATGCCAGGAGGTGCTGGGCCGCAACAAGCATCATCACAAGGAATGGATCTCTATAGAAACTCTGGACAAGATTCAATAAAGGAAGAACAAGAAGACAGCGATTGACAACAGCCAAACACGAGTAGAGAAAGTCAAGGCACAAGCTGAATACACAGAAGCAAAAAAGCAAGTGAAGAGGAGCATTAGAGCCGACAAGCAGAAATATGTAGAAGAGCCAGCAACGACAACGGACAAAGCCCGAAGAGAAGAAAATATGACACAACAAAGAAACTAGAAGGGAAATATAGTAAACCAGAGAGACTGATCAAGGAAGGCAAGACAATCACCGAGATTCAAGAACAGAGGAACAGATGGGTAGGATACTTCGAGGAGTTCTTGAATAGATCAGCTTCATTGAAACCACCGAGCATCGAAGCAGCACCTACAGACCTTCCTGTAGATCTCATTCCACAAACGACAGAAGAAATCAGGATGACCATCAGACAAATCAAGAGCGGGAAAGCAGCAGGACCTGACAATATGCCAGCTAAGACTCTAAAGTCAGACACAGAAGTAACTGCACGTATACTTCACGTGCTATTCAGGAAGATTTGGGGGGAAGAACAAGTGCCAACAGACTGGAAAGAAAAATACTACATCAAAACACCAAAGAAAGGAGATCTGAGCAAATGTGAGAACTTCTTCGACACTATGGTATACCTGAGAAGATCGTCAACATCATCCAGAATTCATATGACGGACTACAGTGCAATGTGTGGCGCATATATATTTGGTGCCCTCTTGTACCAATATTTATGTGTTTAAACAAAATAAAACTACAGTGTAAATTCGTACATAAAGGACAGCTGAAAGATGTTTTCCAAGTAAGAACTGGAGTCACACAAGATTGCTTAATCTCACCCTTTCTCTTTCTTCTGGTGGTCGACTGGATTATGATGACCTCAACATCTGAGGGAAAGCACGGAATACAATGGACAGCTCGGAATCAATTAGAAGATTTGAACTTCACAGATGATCTAGCTCTTCTACCTCATATAGACCAGCAAATGCAGATGAAGACAACCAGTTTAGCCGCAGCCTCTGCATTAGTAGGCCTCAACATACACAGAAAAAAGCAAGATCCTCAAATACAACACAGAGAACAACAACAACCCAATCACACCTGATGGAGAAGCTCTGGAAGACGTGGAACCGTTCACGGACCTAGGAAGCATCATCGATGAACAAGAGGATCGGATGCAGACGTAAAGGCAAGGATTGGGAAAGCAAAGGCCGCATTCCTCCAATTGAAGAATATATGGAACTCAAAACGTCTGTCAACCAATGTCAAAGTGAGTATCTTCAATACGAACGTCAAGACAGTTCTACTGCGCGGAGTTGAAACTTCGAGAACTACCATAACCATCATCAAAACAATAGAAGTATTTATAAATAATTGCTTATATAAGATACTTCAGATCTGTTGGCCGGACACTATCAGTAACAACCTACTATGGCAGAGAACAAACCGGCTTCCAGCTGAAGAGGAAATTAGGAAAAGATGTTGGAGGTAGATAGGATATACATTGCAGAAATCATTAAACTGCATTGCGAGGTAAGCCTTAACTTGGAATTCTAAAAGGAAACGAAAAACAGGAAGACCAAAGAACACATTGCGTCGGTAATTTGAGGCAGACATAAGAAGAATGTACAGCAATTGAAAACAGCTGGAAAGTATTGTCCAGGACAGCATAGGGTGGAAAGTGCTGGCCAGCGGCCTATGCTCCACGAGGTGTAACAGGCCTAAGTGAGTATGTACAATAACGGTGTTGGCGTAATTGGAATAACATGGTTGGACAACACAATTTATTCCACTGAAATACAAAAGATTATGCTTATATTTGAAATTCAATCAGTTTGAAAAAAAAGTTATTTATACGATTACGGTTGGATTCTAAAACCGTAATGCAACGAGGCATGAATGCATTGACATTCTGGCTTCAGACATTTGAAAGAACAAGATTAAGAAACAGGTCTAGTTTATTTTTTTCAAATACAAACTTAATAATTTGCTTTTTATAGTCCTGAATAAACTTTTTTTTAGATATCAGGCAACTAAGACTAGAAACTGAAAAACAATAGATAAGCCTTATTAAAATTATTTTCGACTACATTTCAACTTACGCTTCCATGCTGTTCAGTAGGTGGAATCCATCATAACCTCCTAAACAGTAAAGTGTATCATCTACAACAACAAGACCTGCGCCTTCTCTTGCTGTAGTCATTTCTTCCAAAATTCTCCACTCGTCAATTTTTGGATGATAAACTTCAAAGGACCGAAGACGCGACTGACCATCGAAACCACCACAGACATAGATTAGACCTAAATTAAACAAGAATTCATAAGTGAAAAATAATCCTTCTTGTGAAACTCAAATCAATCGACAGATAAATAGGTAAAAGTGTAAAAACAGCACATCGTAAAAGGGAGTAGCGACAGATAACTTTAGTATGATTCGAAAACCAATTGATGCGATTTGTTATCATTAGCAATATCACAATAACAGGTAAGTCATTCCTACTGTTCTCCAAGGACAAAACTGCCCTGCACAAAACTGGTGATCTTTACAAAAAAACATTTGCCTTTTAATCAGCTGGGCACCCGGGCAGCATCATAGCCCACACACAAATCAAGTGAATTGTGTGGCGCATATGTATTCGGTGCCGCTTTGTACCAATATTTATGTGTTCAAATAAATAAATAAATAATAACTTCATAAAATTCATGAGGTAGACTACCAGAAGCATAAACACATAGATAAAATATAATCAATTATTATTTACCCAGCATTTAGGTATTCAAAATAACAAAAACGAGTGATAAAGGAGAGAACCTACAGGGAATTAGTACAGGTTTAAATTGGGATTTGCATATTCGTTATGTTTCTACTATGTACAACATAACGATCTTAGAGCACAGAATAGACATCGACTAAGGGCTAGCACTAGGTCAGCTTTTTCTTCTGCTCTTCTTCCTGTCCAGGGAGTATCCAAAAGAATCTTAGAACATATACCAAAGAATTTGATAATGAATAGCTCCCAACTACGTGGCAACGGTTTGAGAAAACATATAGTGAACACAGTTATTCAGTAAAAATTTGCATTACTTTTAGAGCAATGAATCGGTAGAATAACAACAAACTACTACATTATGCAGAAGCAGTGGTTATTCGTGTACACCCCACCTGACACTGCCATGATGACAGATTCACTGATGGACTTCATTCCCTTCTATTATCTCTCGGTTTATCTGTTTGAAATCATCTTTATGTAATCGCGATACCACTTTCATTATTCACTTTAGTCAGATTTTTATTTCTAATTTGTGGTTATTACAACTACCCCTGCCACCTTAAGACTGGTCAATAAAGTGTTATTAATTGAAACATCCGATTACTTCCGTTTTCTCATACCCCCTCAACTATTATCATCATCACTATTATGATTGTTTCACCACTGTTTCTTTGGTCACCACTACAACTCAGTATTTTTTTATCCACCGAAATCATATCAATTTAAAGATGCATTATGTAATCCATTACGTCACCATCCCTCAATCCATTCATCTGTATAGTGAATTTTTATGAATATGGAAGGCATTTCCAAACATTTTCCACTAATGAACGAAAAAATTTATCTATGTTACAAAACCGAATAACATTTATAAAACACCATCTTGCATACAATTCAGTGAGTATATAGGAGACTTACTTCTTTACGCCTGTTACACCTCGTGGAGCATAGGCCGCTGGCCAGCACTTTCCACCCTATGCTGTCCTGGACAATACTTTCCAGCTGTTTTCAATTGCTGTACATTCTTCTTATGTCTGCCTCAAATTACCGACGCAATGTGTTCTTTGGTCTTCCTGTTTTTCGTTTCCTTTTAGAATTCCAAGTTAAGGCTTACCTCGCAATGCAGTTTAATGATTTCTGCAATGTATATCCTATCTACCTCCAACATCTTTTCCTAATTTCCTCTTCAGCTGGAAGCCGGTTTGTTCTCTGCCATAGTAGGTTGTTACTGATAGTGTCCGGCCAACAGATCTGAAGTATCTTATATAAGCAATTATTTATAAATACTTCTATTGTTTTGATGATGGTTATGGTAGTTCTCGAAGTTTCAACTCCGCGCAGTAGAACTGTCTTGACGTTCGTATTGAAGATACTCACTTTGACATTGGTTGACAGACGTTTTGAGTTCCATATATTCTTCAATTGGAGGAATGCGGCCTTTGCTTTCCCAATCCTTGCCTTTACGTCTGCATCCGATCCTCTTGTTCATCGATGATGCTTCCTAGGTCCGTGAACGGTTCCACGTCTTCCAGAGCTTCTCCATCAGGTGTGATTGGGTTGTTGTTGTTCTCTGTGTTGTATTTGAGGATCTTGCTTTTTTCTGTGTATGTTGAGGCCTACTAATGCAGAGGCTGCGGCTAAACTGGTTGTCTTCATCTGCATTTGCTGGTCTATATGAGGTAGAAGAGCTAGATCATCTGTGAAGTTCAAATCTTCTAATTGATTCCGAGCTGTCCATTGTATTCCGTGCTTTCCCTCAGATGTTGAGGTCATCATAATCCAGTCGACCACCAGAAGAAAGAGAAAGGGTGAGATTAAGCAATCTTGTGTGACTCCAGTTCTTACTTGGAAAACATCTTTCAGCTGTCCTTTATGTACGAATTTACACTGTAGTTTTATTTTGTTTAAACACATAAATATTGGTACAAGAGGGCACCAAATATATATGCGCCACACATTGCACTGTAGTCCGTCATATGAATTCTGGATGATGTTGACGATCTTCTCAGGTATACCATAGTGTCGAAGAAGTTCTCACATTTGCTCAGATCTCCTTTCTTTGGTGTTTTGATGTAGTATTTTTCTTTCCAGTCTGTTGGCACTTGTTCTTCCCCCCAAATCTTCCTGAATAGCACGTGAAGTATACGTGCAGTTACTTCTGTGTCTGACTTTAGAGTCTTAGCTGGCATATTGTCAGGTCCTGCTGCTTTCCCGCTCTTGATTTGTCTGATGGTCATCCTGATTTCTTCTGTCGTTTGTGGAATGAGATCTACAGGAAGGTCTGTAGGTGCTGCTTCGATGCTCGGTGGTTTCAATGAAGCTGATCTATTCAAGAACTCCTCGAAGTATCCTACCCATCTGTTCCTCTGTTCTTGAATCTCGGTGATTGTCTTGCCTTCCTTGATCAGTCTCTCTGGTTTACTATATTTCCCTTCTAGTTTCTTTGTTGTGTCATATTTTCTTCTCTTCGGGCTTTGTCCGTTGTCGTTGCTGGCTCTTCTACATATTTCTGCTTGTCGGCTCTAATGCTCCTCTTCACTTGCTTTTTTGCTTCTGTGTATTCAGCTTGTGCCTTGACTTTCTCTACTCGTGTTTGGCTGTTGTCAATCGCTGTCTTCTTGTTCTTCCTTTATTGAATCTTGTCCAGAGTTTCTATAGAGATCCATTCCTTGTGATGATGCTTGTTGCGGCCCAGCACCTCCTGGCATGTTGAAGTCAGTACTTCTTTGATTCCTTTCCAATCATCCTCCATCGTAGTTTCTTCTTCGAGTAGATCTTGTAATGCTCGGAATCTTCTGTTGAGAGTTATCTTGAATTGGTTGACTTTGTTAGTGTATCACAGGAATTCTGTATTGAACCTTTGTACTGATGTTTCCCCAGATGTCCAGTGTTTCTTTAGCTTCAGTTTCATCATGACCACAAGCAGCTGATGATCTGAAGCTATGTCAGCTCCCCTCCTTCCTGATTCTCATATCTCCCATTGTCCTTCTGATTTTTTTATTGTTACAAATATGATCTATCTGGTTCTCCGTGGTGTGATCCGGTGAGATCCATGTAGCTTTGTGTATGCGATTGTATGGGAATATTGTGCCGCCTATAACCAATTTGTTGAATGCACATAGGTTCGCAAATCTCTCATCATTTTCGTTCCTCTCTCCCAGTCCGTGTCGTCCCATGATATCGTCATATCTGGTGTTGTCCATTCTGATCTTGGAGTTTAAGTCTCTGATCAGGATGGTCAGGTCTTTTATTGGACACTTCGCTATAATTGATTGCAGCCTCTCATAGGACTGATCTTTATTGTCGTCATTGCTGTCATTGTTGGGTACATAACACTGGATAGCATTCATCATGATTGCCTTCTTTTTTGTTTTGAAGGATGCCTTGATGATCCTGTATCCGTGAGATTCCTATCCTATAAGTGCATTTCGTGCTTCTTTGAACAGCATCAGAGCGACTCCCTGTGTGTGTGGAGCATTTTCTTCGTGATCGGAGTATAGCAACATTTCTCCCGTATCTAGCATTTGCTGTCCAGTTTATAATTTGAATAGTGATAAAACTCAAAGTCAGGAATAATTTAAAAGGCATCAATAACAAATTTGTAATATAATTACACCTTAATTATCTAGAGAAAAATTATTTTCATACTCTAATAGCTACCTTTGTTTGTACAAGCAGCAGATAGACCTCTTTTATAGTGCATTGGAGTAAGTAAACGCCAACCTTCTTCTCTCTGAGCGATATCAAGGGAGTATACGGTATTCAGTCTTTCATTTCCATCAAAACCACCAATGACGTAAACACATGTACCCAATGAACATGCTGCTACATAGCGGTAACTTATCGGTAAATCCTAAAAAATGTTAATCAAAAACATGGATGTTTTTTATATGAATTACAGGGCTTGTTGGACGATGAACTTTAGATCAATTTATTTCCAACTTAATTTGAACAAAACAACGCATAGTCACCTTGCTATTTAATTTTGGATTAGCAAACAAATTAATTTTTGAAATAGAGCTACTTTGTTAAGTTTACTAATTATAAATTAGCTACTACCACCACTACTTTATCCATTGTTAGCTACAGGAATATAGAAACGAAGGGATTTCAGCACTATTGAGTGCTGTAAAAGATCAATTATGAGGGCTCTTTCTTCACTGAAACATAACTCCTGCTGGTTTATGATGTCGGATGTTTGAAATTGAGACCAAAACATGAAATGAAGACAGGCAACCTATGAATGGAATGATACTTTAGACCTGCACATAGTGGTAACTTTATGCACGACTATCAGTAGCCATTCAAGAATAAGATTTAGAGTAAGAATGTGTCAGGTTCCTTTAACCTAAGAGGGCGAGTAATTTTAATATCGAAATTCCAGGAGTAAGGTAGAATCATTAACTCACAGTTTAGTATGCGAACCTTGAAGTAATTAGTGAGTTGCATATAGCTTTAGCTTGGTTTGCAATTTAAAAATAAAGATCAACAAAAGTTCAAAATTGTTAAGATTCTGGATAATCTTTTGACAGACAAACTAATTTTTTAAAGACTACACATTTTAGCTATCAGCTATAATCACAAGCGAATGAGGGAAATGAAATCTTTTGAACTTTTCGTCCTCGAATTCAGATATTTGTTTATAGAAGTTTCAGTTCACTGTACATCTTTTAAGCTAGAGCAAACAAACCTTCGACCAAAAAAAGCCTATAACTATTCCATACAATGCATAAAAAATCTGTAATGCTAGTAATCCAAATAAAAAAAAATCGACAGATAATGATGAAATAAATTATATCGGGAAATAGATTGGGTGCCTGATAAAACACTGGATTTGAAGATTTAAAAGTTCGGAGAATGTGAAAACTTGATAACATAATAACAATAAGTAAAGTAAAGGTAGAGTCTAGTTGAACTGACTCGAAAAAAAACTTACAGAAAGAAATGTCCCCAAACACCCTGGTACAGTCAAGAGTGGGGAGAGCCAACTCTTTCCCGAAATGCTCCCACATGGCCACGCATACACAATCACCATCAAGGAAGTCCTACTCAGTGCCTTCTTGTGGCGGACCGGTTGTTTACGAAATTGAGAGGACGATGTCCGGCGCTTTAACCGGGTTGGTGGACTCGGAGGGTTCACCTAGGGGAGTTGGAAAACCCTAATTCCAAACCAATGGTGCACATGAGCTCCAGTATCCTGAAGGAACAGAAGGCCTATGAACCAATCGTCGGTCACCCGCTACCATGGGACTGCATCGCCTGACGTTTCTCCGCTACCTTTAGGTCGAAGGTTCTGAGTGTGGCTCCTAAGAAAACCACATGCTTCAGTTTGTTCACCCGAGCAGTACCATAGCCCACACACAAATCAAGTGAATTGTGTGGTGCATATGCATTCGGTGCCCTTTGTACCAATATTTATGTGTTTAAATAAATAATACAGTAAGAAATAAAAGATCTATAAATTGATACACCTTGATAACTTACAGGTAACTCGTTCCATTCTAAGGTTCGTGGGTTAAACATTTCAACGGAATCCGAAGGGTCCTGATCAGAACCGAAACCACCAATAACAACTAAGTACTCATTGCCACCGTCACGCTGACGAAATCTTCTATCACGCATTTCATGGCGTAAATCTGGACGTAAATGAAATCGTTTAGCATCATCTACCAAATCCCGACACTCGAGAGATTGTCGAATAAGACGCTAAACTGGTAACATTGAAGCGCACTTTTGGACAGTTTGACGGAAGAACTTTCCATATAATGTTTAATAGTTTTATCCTTCCCATTTAGAGTACGGAAACATAGTACTCCTTCCCCCTCCAAAAGGATAAGGATACTTAGAACGTATCCAACGGCGAGCCACGAAATCAGTTCGAGGACCTGAAATTTAAGCTTCGAAGAGCACCTCCATTCACTTAACGTTTACCCATTAGAGTATAGACGTCTTAGAGGTGACCTTCTGATGGCTCATAGTATGTTTAACACTTCTCGTCATCCTCTTAAACACCTACTTAAGCTTAGTTCCAACACTAACCTAAGAGGTAACACCCAGAAACTGGAGACACAACATAGCAGGACGGACTGTAAATACAACTTCTCCTTAAGAGTTGTCAAATGCTGGAATTCGCTGCCGCCGAGCTAGTCCAAGCGACTTCCCAGGAGTCCTTTAAGAGGCAACTTGATCTATTCTTAAGGATTAAGGATAGTATCACACTGTGATTTACTAATTTCTTTTCCTCTTTTATTGCTAAGATACCTAGATTCCTGCCTGGATGATTTGGTGATCCCCTTCTACAAGACACGGAAGCCTGTTAACGAAAGCTTCTTCTATTCCGTCCACAACCATTTGAACCATTTGAACAGTTTAAAAACACATTCGTTTGACAGTTGAAAAACCAAACGTCTATCTCTTCACGAATAAATTTGGGCAGTAAAATTGGACAGAAAAATAAAGTTTTAGCGGCACAGGATAAGCCCGATATAAGAAAATAGTCTATTATTAATCCTTATTTTCACTTTAACATTCACGATTGATTTTTACTTATGATAACCCATTATTATGCTTAATTTGCAAAATTTCCATCGATTGTCTCAAAATGACTTGGACTTCACTGTTCCTGCATTTTCTTACAAATTGCATTTTGTTTCCATTCATTATTGTTCGATCCTTCTGTCTTTCTGCTGCCAGACCTTCTATTCATCATATACTACTTATGTCAATAAAATTAGCACACACCACACCATCACTTTTATTCACATTAAATTTATTGTTCTATCTTTAACTTAAGTGTGTTCTCCATCATATGTCGGTAATTGTTACGACACGATGAATCAGTGTTGTCAGTCATGTAACCTCCACGTATGATCTTGTAGATTAGGCAGTTACGTCATGACAAATCTACAATCTTAAAATTAGATCTATTATCAGAGCAGTACTAATAATGAAGTAGACCATAATTCGACACAGTCACCCAATATGGTAGATGCCAGAGTACAGAATATCAAGTACGACAGAAATAGAACGGCAGTCAAAAATTTCAACGATGTCCAAGAAGTGATTACTCTAAAGGGATTATAAACAATATAATAATGGCGAATGGACTAAAGAAGAAGCAGAATATTTAAAGATACAATTAACAACGAAAGAAATGACTCAAAAATATAAGGAAGAAAGGAAAAGTCATTGAAAAGCATACATGTAGGGATTATTTTTCATATTTTCGTGCGGATATGAAAGTGAGTTCTACAGACATAAATGACTATATGGCTTATAATTTGTAGCAATTTTATCCATAAATAAATTTTCCAGTAAACTTCTTCAAATTTTAATATTGCAAGTCTGCATGAAGCAAACTATCGATAAATGTGCAGTCAAAACATTTTCTTGTGAGAAATAATGTACTATACCACAAAAGATCGGTGATAAGCACAATATTTACATATTTAAGAATCAACAAGAGTATATATAAAAAAGTGAGATAAAATTTCTATCTACAGTAATCAGGTCAAATAGTTAACACTTTCAGTAGCCAGTCGAAGAGCAACATCAATTAACCTTTTCATGATGTAGCATTGAGCACAGCCAACCAATACCTCATTATCAATGGTACGGCACCATACAATAGCAAAATGAAATGGTAATGACAAATCATAACTAGAGTCAAATAATGAGATTGAAAGCCTTTACCCCGCAAAACTTCTTAACTCTATTTACAACTGATACTTTTATAATTTTGAGCTGATATCGGGTCCAGTGACTAAAAGTCCTCTAGAGTCAAGCCTTTAGGAGACGAAGTAAACTATACTAAGCTATATAGAACTGTTTGATCGAGTTAAAGTGTTACGTCAAAGAAAAACAACAGTAACTTTAAAAAGTCGCTTAAAAGCTGATAGTAGTAAAACTAGTCACGTTGTAATATGAATTACCTAAAACTAATTTCGCAATCCAATATTTTTCCCAATATTTGTGAGCCATTATACACCTAGTCACCGTATCTTGCCAGAGGGATTTGCTCATGATAGTAACTACATTCCTTTTTAAGGAATGCTACTTAATCTACGGTCTATCAAAGCGAATAATTCTTAGTAGTTATAGATGAACTTTTAAGAGAAGCTATTTTGAACGAATGGAATTTGGAGATTGTGGAGCTTACAGAGGCGTGTGCTGGTTTCCTGGGTAGTTTGTTTTTTTGCTTGTTCCATACTTGCAGAGTGCAAACAAACAGCCTGCTTAGCTTGATCAGTTACCCAATCTAGTAAAGGGTTAAGATAGCGTAAGCTGCTGAACTTATACAACACTACTTTGGAGCAAGACCTTCCTTGAGTCACTAGCCCAAATTACTTTTAAAAGATGACCTGATTACCGTTCTACAACAGTATTATGGAAAGAACTGAATATATTTAACTGATTAGAACTGTTATACTGAATAATGAACACACTTTTAGATGTATTTTCTTCGATTAACTTTTGACCTTGTCTGTTTATATTTTCGGCATGAACATGTTGGTTTCAGTTTGTTTTTTGGTTTGGCATTTTGGAAATTTTCGTTCCGAAGACCTAAAGATTGAAAAACGATATATTTGTGTTGATTACTTAGCATTTACGAATAAACGTTGGTATTTGAGTTTGAATTAGTTCGCTTTTTAGTTGGGTTGTAGGTTATTAGTGAATCAATAAACCGTGCTTCAATAATGGACGAGAACAAAATCTGGACGAAACACAGTATGGTTTAAAGAATGAACTATATGGCTATATTTTGTTCAAAACAGAAACGAACAAAATTGGAAACGCAGAGTCACTTTGCATAATACCCTAACCTCATTAAGTTGGTCAATATTATTTACAAAAAGACATGCTTCCATTAACACATATAGTGAATCCTCACAAAGATGATAAACATGCACCTTTTGAGTTTGAGAAAACCAACGCAAATGAGTTAAAAATACAGGTAATCTTGTTCTCTCACAGAAGTTGGATAGCACTAAACAACCAAAGTTGCCGATGGAATAGACTCATTTATTACCCGGGAGAAACTTTAGAACATCAGAATGAATCTAAATAAACCTTGCCCTCATACTTACTTGAACGAAACAGCAATTGTTATGGGGAGGGGGGAATATTGAGACAGCTGCAACTTTAAGAACTGTCCTATGGAGAATTATCACATGTATTTCTATTGTATAAGTAATAGACATGTTAGCTATTGTACCCTTCGTCTACGTTTCACGCTGTTTCAATTGTTGTCGACAATTTACGAATTTATCATTTGAGCTCTCCTCTATTCATGGTCTTATTCTGTATACATTGCGAGTTCCTATCCATATGAATGTCAGATAAGTGAATTACTCTCCATTAATGTATGAGTTGGGTTGTCAAATTGAAGTCTACTTCGATATTACTACATTTATCTTTGTTACTATAATAAGAGACATAACCACAAAACTGTAGACTTGTCATGACGTCATTACCTGGTTTATAAGACCTTACGTTGAAGTCACATCATAGTGTGCACTGACTCGTTATATCGTGACAATCGGCAATAAGACGTTTAGTACATTTGAAGGACACACTTCGACTGGAGATAAAATAATATACTCTATGTGAAAAGGTATGAGCTACACAGATGACCACTCCTACTAGGCTGAGCCATTTCATGCAGATATAGTGTTCCCGTGTTTTCAATTATTGACGTTCCCTAGGTGCTACATGTTAGATGTAAGTCTCAGTAATTATATGCCCAGTTTCAAAGAGAATATGGTTAGGGACCAAGCACCACAAAGTCACATAACTTAAGTGGTACACAACAGGACAGAGATCTTCTGAGTAAATGCTGTTGTTCGTTGGGCATGGTGATGGTAGTAAATTCGGAAGCTACTTGCACTACGAGCGGTAAGAGAAATAACCAGTGGATAGACGCGGTGATCTACTACCAGTACAGGTATCTGAACAACTTATGGATAAAATAAAAGTAATTTATGTTTTTATGAGACTGAAAATAATACTCTCTTAAACTCGAATAAGGTAGAATGAATTACTAAGACCCATTCCCAACATTGCCAGATTCAAATCGACTACAGGGAACATCGAGGAAATTTTCTTCCTAAACCCCAAGTTTTGTGTCATCGTTTTCTACCCAAGCGTTTCGATTTTATTTTGGTCAGCAGACTGAAGTGTGACCGGTGAGGTTTTTGACACATCTCAGGTTTGCTCTGAAAAATGAGACTAAATGCCACGCCGGTAGCCACAGAAATGCTCAAGACTAAATGTCTGTCCCTAACATAAAACGAGGGACTCTTCAGGCACCTCTTTTCAGTCGTTGAGTCCTGTCGGGAGGTGCTCGTTTCCCATATTCTTGGGAGTCTGTTTGGACTAACTACATGGTTGACTACATATGGCTGATTTGACACCAAAATTATAGTGATAGCAACAGCACTTCCCAGATTGTCTGGACGTTTGTGACCTACCCTGTGACTTGGGTCTCGGTCGTTGCGGTGACTTACTCCTGTTTCTACGGCCCATTCGCATTTTGGTTACAGCTTTTGTGAGACTCTTAACACTTACAATGAGTCCTGATATGACTGGGTCTTTTGGTGGTTCTTTGTTTCGTGTGTGATGTATCGTAGATGACCCAGCTAGGGACTTCGTCCCATTATTCTCTCTGCGATACGCGCTGAGTAAGATGGAGAGGTATTCAGGTATTG